ACTCCACAAGTGATATTGCACATGTCAGATCTTACACCATTTATTTGTACAAACTGTTTCCTATCTTTTAAATAGCTAGATACCCAGTGTAATGCTGGTCCTCTTATACCATATTTATTAAATTTTTCAAGGAGAATAGTGTGGTCAATAGTATCGAATGCTTTTTTTAAATCAACAAAAATACTAACACAATACTGTTTTTTATCGACAGCAGTAGTTATTTGTTCTATTATTTCCATGAGAGCCATTGATGTAGAGTTTTTTGCTCTAAACCCATACTGACTGCTACTTAGAATGTTTTGTTTAGTAATAAATTTATCTAATCTGGTCACAAACAGTTTTTCTAGAATTTTTGAGAACTGTGGTAATAAGGATATTGGTCTATAATTATTGAACACACATTTATCACCATTTTTAAAGAGAGGAACTACCTTTGCTACTTTCATATTGTCTGGAAATATTCCTTTTGAAAATGATAAATTACAAATATATGTAAACGGCTCGATAACATAACTCATTATGTCCTTTACAAACAGCATATCCATGTCCACCCAGTCTTTTGATCTCTTATCTGTAAGATTTTTTACAACATTCATTATTTCTTCTTTGTCAGTTCCATTAAGAAAAATACTGTTGTCACAACCTATAACTGAATGTTTCACATTATTGTCTACTTTTGGTATTTTAGCTGCAAGGCTTGATCCAACGTTCACAAAATGATGATTAAATCCATTTACAATTTCATTTTCATCATGGATTTCATCGTCATCTTTCAAAAAATATTGTGAAATACCTGTTTTTGCTTTATGACTTTTCAGAACACTATTTATTACACGCCATGTTGCTTTCATATCACCATTACTTTTATTTAAAAAAATCACTATAATATTCCTTCTTGTGTTTCCTTATAATCGCTACTAATTTATTTTTATACTTCTTATATTTCTCTTCAGCCTCTTGTGTTCTCAATTTCAAGAAACATGTATACAAATAATTCTTTTTTTTACAAGCATTTCTCAACCCTTTCGTCATCCATGGTTGGTCAACAACATTTCTCTTTGTACAATTATTTTGCACACAATTCTTTTCATACAGAGCTCCCAAAATATTCATAAACTCATCATATGATCTGTTCACATCATCAACATACACGTCTTTCCAGCTTTGTTTATGTAAATCATCTTTTAATTTGTCCATTGCTTTTTTTGATGTGTTTATTGTTTTTTCCTTAATTGTGATTTCTTTTGTAATGCTTTGATCATTTTTATAAATCATGAAAACTGGTAAGTGATCACTCAAATCACTCGTTAAAATACCTCCCATCACATCCCCATTTGTTACATTTGTGAAAATATTATCGATTATTGTAGCACTATGAGTTGTAATTCTTGTTGGTTTTGATATTAACGGATAAAGATTTAAACTACACAATGAATTTGTAAATGTACTGATGTTATTTGAATCTGTTTTATTTCCCAGGTCAATATTAAAGTCTCCACAGAAAAAAATGCTTTTATTAAAACTCTTGTCCAATAGTTGTACGATTTTATCAGTGAATATTTCTATATTTGATCCTGGAGATCGATATACACAACTTATTATATTATTATTATATATACGGTCTGATTGTGTGTTTATTTTGTTTGTTTGTGAAAAGCATTGTTTATATATTTGTTTGAAGCATTTGTTTATGAGAATGTCATCTGCTAAATCAGTTTTATACACCTTTAGTTTCACACAGTCGAGTACGAAAAGGTTTTTTTTGACACCATAAGTATACCAATCTAAAACACAGCAAATTTACAAAAAATCATGACGTGTATTTTGTCTGCAGCTTTTCAAATTCTTTGGTCAGTGCATTGTTTAAAAAGCTTTACGGTTTCATTTCTAGTTGTACAGGCAATATAATTTATACTTGTATAATAATAGCAATAATAATAACAAGTTAAATACATTTATACAGTACATTTCATGTCCAATTTTATTTTTTTCTGAGGACAGAAAAACTTTATTTTAAAATGTTATAGTAGAATTACAGACAATTTTGGGAATAATGGGCAACGTAAAAATTCTCTAAAAATATTGATATGACTTCAAACATTACTGTGATTTTATTGCTCTGACATGGGAGCATAACATTCATTTCAGGATTCTGAACATCGATTTACCAAACAAGGTTAAATCAATTACACATAAATAGTTATATGTAACAATGTATTTGCATGGATCTTGATTCAGGAATTCTGGCCAGTTGCAGACCTATATCTAATTTAACATTCATCTAAAGAATTCTTGAGAAAATATTTGCAAATCAATCATGTGAACGTCGGAACAGAAATAATCTGTTTGAGGAGTTTCAGTCAGGGTTTAGAGCTCACCATAGCACAGAAACAGCACAGGTGAAAGTTACTAATGATATTCTCATGGCCTCTGACAATGGACAGGTGTCTACACTGGTCCTGTTAGACCTCAGTGCTGCATTTGATACAGTTGATCACAATATTCTGCAGATACTTGAATATGATTTTGGGATTACAAGAATGGCTCTAAAGTGATTTAAATCCTTTTTATCTGATAGATTCCAATTTGTAAATATACATAATGAATCTTCTTCATAGACCAAAGTTAGTCATGGAGTTCCTCAAGGTTCAGTGCTTGGACCAATACTCTTTTTATATACCGGTATATATGCTTCCATTATGTAAAGTAATTAAACAACATGGGATAAAATTTCATTGTTATGCTGATGATAATTAAATGTGTCCATGAAACCCAGTGAATCCAGTCAGCTACTTAGACAAGCATGTCTTGAAGACATAAAAACCTGGATGACCCTTAAGTTTCTGCTTTTAAACTCAGACAAGACTGAGATTGGGGTTTTTGGACCGGAGCAATAAACTTTTCAGTCTTTCACTTTCTCTGATTGGCGTTCATTTTGCCTCCAGTTCTAATGTAAGTACTGGTAAGTAAATTATTTGGTTCCCTGAGCTATTCCTTAGTTATGCTGCTATAGGCTTAGACTGCTGGAGGACAAATTGGCCATATTTCCTCACTCTACTGCTGTCTTTATTTGCTGTACTGTCTTTCCTCCAATAAAAAGTACACCTGGACCTGCCTTTTTGTACTTACCTGTTTCTCCTTCCTGTCCTTTCAAACCCCAGCTGGTCGAAGCAGATGGCCGCTCATCCTGAGCCTGGTTCTGCTGGAGGTTTATTCTTATTAACAGGGAGGTTTTCCTTTCAACTGTCCCCCTTGTGCTTGCTCAGGATGGGAGACTGTGATGAAGTGAAGATCCAACATGATCTGCTGGCTTCCTTAGATAGAGAACTTTTACTAATTGGCTTTTGTATGTATGTGAATGTTTTCGTTCAGTGCCCTGAGATGACTTCTGCTGTGACTTGGCACTATATAAATAAACTGAACTGAACTGAATGAATGTGTTTGCAGCACTAAAATATTTTTGTCAAAAATGTTTTCTTTTCTGCTGCAGATGAATGTGTGGCATTTGTTTCCATCATGTGGTGAAACTACAAAAGTACAGACCAGCCAGTCTCCATTCTATCTTTCCATTATGTAAAGTTACACATTTAAAGATTTTTTACTTTTATTTTGAAATTATTCCATTCAATGTGTCAAAACATTGTAAAAGGTATGCCAAGTTTCAGAACCCCCCCACCCCCAACCACCACCACACACAGAGGTTTGTCTTGCTATCTTTATGTGGACTTTCCATGTACTTCCATTCATTTTTCATTCATTTCAGATAAATAATGTTAAATTATTATTTTAAAATATGAATGTTTCTGTTAACTTATTTTATATATGAATGTTCCTGTTCAGTGCCCTGAGACTACTTCTGTTGTGACTTGGTGCTAAATAGATAAATTGAATTGAAACTCATTTCTATGGCCTAACCCTGACCCTTACCCTAAAACTAACCCCTAACCCACCAACCACACATCTATCTATCTATCTATCTATCTATCTATCTATCTATCTATCTATCTATCTATCTATCTATCTATCTATCTATCTATCTATCTATCTATCTATCTATCTATCTATCTATCTATCTATCTATCTATCTATCTATCTATCTATCTATCTATCTATCTATCTATCTATCTATCTATCTATCTATCTATCTATCTATCTATCTATCTATCTATCTATCTATCTATCTATCTATCTATCTATCTATCTATCTATCTATCTATCTATCTATCTATCTATCTATCTATCTATCTATCTATCTATCTATCTATCTATCT